ACCCGCGCCCCGTCACCTCACCCGCCCCCGGGAGTCCAGCGGCGTGGGGGGCCGGGGGCCTGCAGGGACCTGTCAGCAGCAGCAACTTTGTGAACGGGCCGCAGCGGTAATTTGAGGTTTCCCTCACCCCCGCAAAGACTTAAATTGGTTACTTTTTATTGATCTTTTGAGTAAGACAGCTAAGGCATAGTCGTATATTCAGCCCACCCAAGCGTTCTAAAATAAAATGTCTTTGAGGACAGAGAGTCCTGCCTCCTGACAGTTTAATTCATCTTCCATCTTGCGTTCTTTCTGTCAGCTAGTTTATGCACTGGTATTAAATTTTCCTGAATGCATGACTTCTGCAATACGGATATTTGAGGAATGTGTTAGTAATTCTTCAACAGCAATTTAGCATCGAAAGGGCAACCAGTGAATGTTTGTTTCTTTAACAAAGAATGGAAAGAGACAGTGGATTTAGTCCTCAAAGCTATGAAGCGCTCACAGCTTCCACATTTTATGCTGATAACAGTAAAGGAACAATTTGAAGACCCTGACACTTGACAGGATTTTTCTAGCACAGTATGTTCTTGGAGAGCATCTCAGAGGAGCAGCAGTAGCATTGTATTCTACTTTAAAGCTTTTGTGCATACAGCTTGTTAGTTGGATACCTTTTCAATTTCAAGCAAGCTGCAATAATTTCAACACACAATCTAGTATTTTTGTCATAAATGAAAAATATTTGGGCTAGTAAGGAATCTCCTGGAAAGCAAGCATATTGATTAAATATTCTTTCTTGAAAATAACTAATGTTTTGTTTATCTCTTTTTCAGACGTAAGCATCTCTGCATCATCATCTTTACAAAGCAAAGGGAATATTTCCTTATTGGGAAATAGGAAGCTTTTTTTTGACACTCATGCGCTGGTATGCCTCTTGGAAGAAAATGGTAATTTGCTAGAAATGGGTAGCTATTTTTAATCTCATTTCATGAGTAGTTTTATAGTTTACAAAGCATTACTTCTCCTTGACGTGTGATGTTACAGCTTCAGTTTTATGAATTTTTTTTTTTTTTTTTTAATAAATTAAAACCTGCAAGTTAAGTGTGCTGACACACAACGGTCCATTTCTGCCCAGCTCCCAGGAATGATCTAGTACCAGGAGCTATGCAGTTCTGAGGACTCACATTATTAAAATTTAAATATATATACACACTACATCTACAACACTGTATGAAATATATAATCAAAACCGCATTACTACACTGATCAGATTAGAGAAGCACAGCATTTTTTGTAATGTGTTTTATGAATTTTTTTTTTTTTTTTTAATATGTACCGGGTAAGAACATGTAAGTTTTTTCTACTTGCAAAAGGAAACATTGAGCTTATATAATTTTGATCAGAATAATTTATCGTCCTATTGGTAATTAAAAATGCCAAAGAGAAATTAGATTTTAAGAATTGAACATAAAAAACAGTTTTCAAGTTAGTGGTTTAAAATGTATTAATTGGATTCCTATGTATTTAGTATATGCAACAAAGTCTTACAATAGGATTGAATACAGACTACTATGTAAAATGCACAAATACATACAGTGTAGAATACTATATAAAATATGGCTGCTCTTGTGCTAAAACATAGATAAGGGAATAGATTATTTTGGATTCTTGCTAATGTTGCCGAGGTGGGGAAGGTACCTTAAGGTGAAGTTCAGTACAGCTGACAGCTCTCCCTCCCTGAAAAGGAAGGGTCCCAGTCCCTTTTCCCTGCCATGTGGCTTCATCTCTTTCCATGTGCCAACCTAATTCTTGGAAAACTGCAGCTCTTTTGCTTGATTCTGAGATGCCAGTTTAATGAGCTCATAGAGTAGTTGCATGAGGACCAGGACACCTCAAACTGGCAGAAGGAAGGAAAAGAAGAGAGAGAGAGAGGAAGGGTCTCTCTTCCTTTTGGTGGTGGCAAACTGTTATATCGGCTCAGCTATTGAAAGCAGCTCCCTCTCAGACCACATATGTGCTTTCTAAGACTTAACTGCTAGTTAGTATGAAACAATCGTGCTTTATCAAGTGTTTCTTTTCATAACGGCTAAATCTTGTTCGTGACACTTTTAGTCCTAGGTTTTGAAAGTAGAAAAAATTACATTCTTTCTAGGGACAATGTTTTGCAATAATTCCCAATATATTCAGTTTAAAAGGTTTTTAATGGGGACTCAGAGGCTGGTAGGCCTAAAATCAGGGCAGGTAGCTCTGATTTCAGCTGTCGAGTTTTGCATGTCTTCAGTGGTTCTGAAGATTTACAGTGTACTGAAAGTAGGTATCTGCTTTTTGGGGTCAGAATTCTTGCTCCTAGAAATAATCACATGTGGAAGATGACATTCCATAATACTTCTAGAAAATTTCTAGCATTTATCCTGCTGACATTGTAAGAGTGCTGTACTGCAGAAGCGCCTATACTATGTCACAGACATAATTTTGGGGAGGAGGAACTTGGATATACTGACTGGTTGTGTTCTTTCATTAGTGCTGGATCAAGAGGAGTATGTTTTATTACCTTTCATAAATGACATTCATTTTAACTTGGTGCTGAGTATTATTAGTAAGTGGCATTTCTGTAAAATGTCCACATTTAGGTCTATCTCTGAATTTTGTTGCATTTTGTTTTGCTTAGGGTTCACTACTCAGCAGTCGGAGGTCATTGTGTCCGCGTTAGTGAAAATTATGAACACCAACCTGGATATAATTTACAAGGACATGGTCACCAAAGTACAGCAGGTTAGCTCAAAGACGACGGTGGGGTTGGAGTAAATCAAAACCTAGTATGCATGCTAATGAAATACATGTTGCTATTTATTGCTGTTAGACACTGTATTTTAAAAGTTTGAAGGTGAAGAGCAAACATTCCTATGTATTTATTAACTAGTGAGTTTGGTCTTGAGTTTGTCAAACGTGTTGTGGCAGACCTTGAGATTTGGGTACTGTGAGTTGGTACACAAACCATGGGTAGTTTTTTGGTTTCAACCTTACTGTAGCATGAAATAGTTACTGAGAAAGCTTTTAGACAGACATAGGAGGTATTAGATGCATGGCTTTGAATAGTTACAGCTCCTACATATATTCTTTTGTAGATTTGTTACAAGAAAGTACAGATTCCCTCAGTGATTTACCACCCTGTTACGTGGTACCTTTTTATTTATCTCCCTGTATCACAATGGCATTTATATTGGATTAGAATTCAGCTGAATTTCTTTTTTTATATCATGTTTTTAGGGCATGATTGGTGTGGTTATGTACACCGGTAACATACAGGGACATGTATAGTTTGGATGCTGATATTGAAATTGTACCTCCTTTTTCTTTGATGCATACGTTGTTCATGGTATCATCTAAACCTACCCAGCATATACATCTGGGTGTGAAGAAGGGAAGAAAACTTGCTTGGAAATAGGCTGATAATGCTGAGTATCTACAGAGATCCTTCGTGGCTACCAGGAATCTGCATACAACTGAACTGAATTGTTAGCTTTGACTTGTGAGGGAATGATTGTTTTAATGAATAACTGTGCCTGGAGGCAAGGCTTTCTTGTTCTAATACCGGCTGTGATTTTTTGGGGGGCCTTTGTCAGGTCATACAAAGGTAGATCGATGTAAGGAGTTGGACATGACAGTGTTGAATATTGCCATGTTGAGCTTTTAGGTGTCTGGCTCCAGAAATAGAACTGAAATTCAGAGTAAGACATGATTCACTGCATGTGGAACTTAAGCATCTTTGAATGGGATTCACAATATCTGGTACACTGGAATTCCCTGACACATAAGCTAGTCAAATAGACACTGGTGACAAGAAGCATGGCTGAAGTACAACCTCTTGGGCTGCTCTGAGGCTGACATTCGCAGCCCCAAGTCACCTTCTGAATACAGGCTTTAACTTCTTTCACAGCAATAAGGCTGCTGTCTTAAAACATGAGAAAACAGCAGCTGTTGCCTCCATAGTATAATAGTCTTGGCAGTAGGGCATCTGATTAAGAAGCAGAGCACCTGGATTTTGCACCACCTTCCATCTAAGAAGGCTCCAGCTCATCTTCCTTACCTTCCAGATTCCAGGCAAAGCGGACATGGGCAAGCATCCTCCCGCTGTGCTGAACTTGTTCCACAGTCAATTGGAGAATGCAGTGTTAAAGGGACCCTTGCTCCCATGGTTGGTTATATTTTACAATAAGCAGTCATTGCATCTCTACCTCCTTCTAGGCTCAGCTTTTTTTTTTTTTTTTTTTTGAATGAATGAAAGTAGACAGGTTTTTCTTTGTGGCTCATGATGGTAGATGTTTTCTGAGACTGCCTGGTGGAGTCCACCCTCAGGTGACTTTCTGTCATTAAGGTTGAAAAGTGCAGGTTTGTGTGGCGTGCTAAAATAGAAGCAGCTCAGGAGGTGTGTATGCCATGAACTTTGGGTAACACGATAGAACATGTAGTTCCTTACAGTCTTTGAATGCGGAAGAGCTTATGCAGAAAGAGAATGATGAGTTGGAGGAGGATTTGGAAAGTTATGGATGTATTAGCATTAGGCCCTAGTTGGGTATGTGAAAGATGAAATATTACACTGGTTAGATAAAGCCTTAGGGGGGAAAAAAGTGTATGTGTATATATAGAGAGAGATGAAGAGAAAAAATGTGGAAGAGTGTTCTCTGTTTTATTGAGCTCAGCGAAGAAGGGAGAAAACAAAAGCAAGCTGGCAATATCACCAAGTGAGAGGGGTGGTGTCTGTGGCAGTACTCTTTCTGTAGACTTTTTGTAACATGTCTAGTACACAGAGTCATTTTTTTCAGTGTTGTGGTCAGGTAGCCTGGTGAGGCATCTCCAGACGCTGCTTAAACGTATAACACTGTAAGTTAGAATAGCATTTCCTGACGAAAGTGCTGTGTCACATTTGTAGGATTCTTAGTCCAGAATGAAAAGCAAGGGACTACTTACTAGGGGAATGCCTTCAGAGAAGAGAAGGCAGTCCCTGTTTGCATGTGTGGATAGTGTAGGATCTAGAGCAATGTCTACACACTTTTGCATCCTCAAAAGCTGCAGAGAATTCATGTTTGTCTTCTATCAGCTCAGAATAAGAGACTGAGAAAAGCAACTAAAAGTGTAAGTACAGCGCATGATTCTGAGTAGTGAAGCAGAGTGAGCCCCCCTGCAGGGGGAGGTAAAAAAGGAGGTAATTACAGAAGAGTATGGTTGCACTGAGGAGTTTTGGTCTGAAAACCAGCTTTCCTCATTTAGCTCAGAGACACATCTTCTCTCCTTAATGCCTTTGCTAGCTTAAGAATTTGGAAGAAACTATTTTGCAGGCTATTAATTGAATTATTCTGATCTGTGTTAACACTGCTAATTTTGTCAAACATTACCAACATTTGAGCTTAACTTGCTTATTCTGTCACTTCATTTATCTTGCTTTCCAAAACTCAGATAATCATTCTGAAATCACCGAATTAAAAATTTCGGGGCACCAAGATAGTCTATCATAGGCACAATGAGAAAAAGCATTATAGTTAATTTTATGTTCTGAGGTTTTTCTTCCCCTTTTTAAAGGAAATTGCACTTCAGCAAGTAATGTCCCATATTGGTGGTGTGAAAAAGGACATGATTATTTTGGAAAAAAGCGAATTTTCAGCACTTCGTTCAGAAAATGAGGTAAAAATCTCTGTCTTGGAAAGTGCTATTCTAACACTTGCTTATTTTTTTTTTCTAATGATGTAAAAAAGCATCTTGTACCCAAGGGGCTGGCTCTGCACCTTTCATTAGTGACCTTGTTGATGGGGCAGAGTGCACCCTCAGCAAGTCTGCAGATGATACAAAGCTGGGAGCGGTGGCCGGTACAGCAGGCAGTTGTGCTGCCATTCAGGGGGACATCAACAAGCTGGGGAGATGGGATGACAAGAATTTTATGCAGTTGACCAAATGGAAATGCCAAGTCCTGCCCCTGGGGAGGAACAGCCCCATGCACCAGGGCAGGCTGGGGCTGCCCAGCTGGAAAGCAGCTTGGCAGAAGAGGCCCTGAGGGTTTGGGTGGACACCACGTTGACCATGAGCCAGCAATGAGCCCTTGGGGCAAAGGCAGCAACAGCCTCGTGGGCTGTGTTTGGAGGACTGCCAGTGGGTCAAGAGAGGTGATCCTTCCCCTCTGCCTGGCACTGGTGAGACTTCATCTGGAGTACTGGGTCCAGTTCTGGGCCCCCCAGCATTAGGGAGATGTGGACATGCTGGACAGAGTCCAACAAATGGCCACAAAGATCAGTAAGGGACTGGAGCACCTGACATATGAAGAAAGACTGCGAGAGCTGGGACTGTTTAGCCTGGACAAGAGAAGGCTCAGCGAGGATCTCATTGATGTATACAAATATTTGAAGGGAGGGTATAAAGAAGACAGAGACAGGCTCTTTCTGGTGTTGTCCTGTGACAGAACAATAGGTAATTGGCACAGACCAAAATGTGAGAAATTCTATTTAGACATAAGAAAATCATTTTTACTGTAAGGGTGATAGAACACTGGAACAGGATATGCAGAGAGGCTGTGGAGTCCCTATCCTGGAGATGTTCAAAGCCCAACTGGACATGGCCCTGAGCAGCCTGCTTGCTCTAGTTGCCCCTGCTTTGAGCAGGGGACTGGACTGTGTGATCTCCAGGGAGAGTTATTAGAAGATGCTACAGCTATAAACATTTTGTGCATCTTTTGAAAGAGGTAAAGTAATAGAATAATTTGAGTTAGAAGGGACCTCTAGTGAACATTAGGTAGTTGCGGGCTGCAGTATAATTGCCATTTAGCCATCTCTTCTTAAAGCTCAATAAACCAGCTCTCTCTCCTCATCCCTCACCCCCAACATTGTGTGCTCCAGCCCCAAACCACCTTCACGGCCCTCCACTGCACTCGCTCCAGGATGCCCATGCCCGTCTTTCACCAGGGAGCCTAAAGCTGGACACAGCGCTTACAGTGCAGGCTCACAAGTGCTGAACAGGGGGAAATAATCACTTCCCTTGGCCTACTGGGTTTACTCTTGGGCATACCATCCTATGCATTTGGCCACATTTACTGCTGTGGGACATTGCTAGCTTCTGTCTTGTGCTGTTGTTTGGAAATGCGCAGCCCTGAGTAAGCACGCTTGTGTGCACACATGCATATTTCTATACAGATACCGAGGACATAGAGTTAAACCACGCTCATTTTGTTTTCCTTTTCACATGGATGATAGTCATTATTACTGATTGTGCAAATCCATTAATATTTCTAGATCATGTGTTTTTGTATACAGTAATAAAGTGTACAATTTTTTTCTATTCTCCCAGAAAATAAAACTTGAACTCCAGCAGATAAAGAAGCAAGTCATGGTAAGATACCATGCCAGTGTAATTAAGAATTAACATGTCTAGTTTGCTTAAAATAAAAAATAATTGTTGTTTTCAAGATTTTATTTTAAAGGCTGTGTTTAATTGTTGTGATATATAGGACACTGAAATTGCAATTGAATGGTACACTGTGAGCTGCAGCAAAAACAATTTCATGCATACTTCATTTATGGTGACAGAACTGTGAATAGTACAAGAGGTGAAGAAAAATTTAAGTGAGGATTTTTTTTTTTATTTATTTCCATGTCCTTAATTTAGATTCAGAAAGTAGCTAACTACCATGTCATGGTTAAGGCTGAGTGTAGTTCTGCATTTAGGGCTGCCTGTTACGTGTAAAAATGCACATACTTTTAAAATTACAGCACTTTCTAATTGGTCGGGGGGGGGGGGGGGTTTGGTTGTTGGGGTTTTTTGGGGGTTTTTTCCTTGGTTTTGTTTTGTCTGAAGACATATCTGTTAGCTGTCCAGAATTTAAAAAAACTTTTAAATGGCTGCTTTAGGCCGCTAAGTTTGGGACCATTATGCTTGGTCCCATTTGTTTGGGAGCAAATGACCTTTGCAAGAAAACAGGCTCTCTGGAGAAAACTTACTCTGTTAATTATCATACATATCCTTATTCTTATGAGGTTTAAGCATCAGTGCTCTGTTTCTGTTCTTTATGGTCTACCTGTCTTGAATAGCTCTCTACACATCCTTCTACCACCAAGACTGTCTCAAAATCTATTATTTCAATGGGTGCAAACTCCCAAGCAGCCTTTACACAGAAACAAACATTCTTGCAAGAGTGATTAGGATTGGAAACTGGGAAACATTAACTGTTTTTAGGGAATATGTGCATCTGACTTGAGAACTGCTG